CAATTTAAAATATTGTGGTATGCTTACAACAACAACAACAACAACAACAATAACATACCCAATATATACCACATCGTGGGGGTCTTGCGAGGGTAGTGTGTACGCATATCGTATCCCTACCTTGTAAGGATAGAGAAGTTGTTTCTAATAGACCCTCGACTTAGGAAAGTATAAGCACCACATTAATGAAAATGTAGACAAGAAGGGACAGTACCAAAAAACCATATAAAAGCAGAGTAAAAACAACAAGATAGTAAGGTGATCAACAATGAAACAAACCAACAGCTAGTCATAAAAATATACTACCAACAGAAAGCGATGGTGCGTGCCAATACTACTGTTATGAATACTCTAGACTAACTACTCCACTACCCTAATACTCGACCTCCATACCTTGCTATCAAGAGTCATGTCCTCGGTCAGTTGAAGTTGCGCCATGTCTTTCCTAATCACCTCTCTCCACCTCTTTCTTGGCCTACCTCTACCTCTCAGTAGGCCCTCCAATGTCAACATCTCACACATCCTCACCGGGGCAACTATGCTCATCCTCCTCACATGACCAAACCACCTAAGCCGCGCTTCCCGCATATTTTCCTCAATAGGGGTCACACCCACCTTGTCGTGAATAACCTCATTTCTGATCCTATCTAACCTGGTGTGCCCGCACATCCATCTTAACATCCTCATCTCTGTTACCTTCATCTTCTGGACATGAGCGATCTTGACTGGCCAACACTCCTCCCCATACAACATCGTTGGTCTGACCACCACTCTGTATAACTTACCCTTAAGTTTCAGTGGCACCTTTTTGTCACACAAAATATCGGAAGCGAGTCTCCATTTCATCCATCCCGCCCCAATACGATGTGTGACATCTTCATCAATCTCCATATCCCCTTGAATAATAGACCCAAGGTACTTAATAATCCCTATCTTAGGGATGACCTGCGAGTCCACCCTCACCTCTTCTTCCCCTCCTTGAGTCTCGCCACTGAACCACATATTCTGTCTTGGTCCTACTTAACTTGAAATCTTTAGATTGCAGGGTCTGCCTCCATACCTCTAATTGCGCGTTCACATCGTCTCGTGTCTCGTCAATGAATACAATATCATCTGCAAATAGCATGCACCACGGCACCTCCCCTTGGATGTGGCACGTCAGTACGTCCATCATCAGGGCAAACAAAAAAGGGGCTGAGTGCTGACCCCTGATGCAACCCCATCATAACCGAAAAATGATCTGAGTCCCTACCCACCATCCTCACTCAGGTCTTTACTCCATCATACATTTCCTTAATTAACCTAATGTAGGCAATATGTACACCTCTAGCCTCCAAACATCTCCACAAAACCTCCCTCAGAACTTTATTGTATGTCTTTTCTAAGTCGATGAACACCACATGCAAGTCCTTCTTTCTCCCTATACTGATCCATCAATCTCCTAACAAGGTGGATGGATTCTTTAGTCGAACGTCCCGGCATAAACCCAAATTAGTTCTCGAAAATAGACACACTCCTTCTCACCCTTAGCTCAACCACTATCTCCCAGACTTTCATAGTAAGGATAAGCAGCTTGATACCCTGATAGTTATTGCAATTTTGGATATCACCCTTGTTCTTGCATACAGGAATCATCGTGCTCTACCTTCACTCTTCGGACATCTTCTTCGTTCTAAAAATGACATTAAATAATCTAGTGAGCCACTCCAATCCTGCCTTGCCCGCACTCTTCCAAAACTCCACCGGAATTTCATTCGGCCCGATCGCTTTACCCCTGCTCGTCTTATGCATAACCCCCTCAACTTCATCAACTCTAATCCGCCTACAATAGCCAAAGTCACAATGACTCTCGGAGAGTACCAAATCAGTTAGTATAATTCTCTTGTTCCCTTCCTCGTTCAAGAGACTATGGAAGTAGGTCTGCCATCTACGACGAATAAACCCCTCATCCAACAAAACTCTACCTTCTTCGTCCTTGATGCACTTCACTTGGTCCAAGTCATGCGCCTTCCTTTCTCGCGCCTTGGCTAACCTAAACAACCTCTTATCCCCACCTCGACCCTCGAGTTCCTCATACAAAGGACTAAAAGATGCAGTCTTGGCCGCCGTAACTGCTAGCTTTGCCTCTTTCTTAGCCAACTTATAATGCTCCCTATTCGCCCTCTTCTCCTCCTCGTCTACACTTTCCACTAGCTTTAGATATGCTGTTTTCTTGGTTTTCACTTTTTCTTGCACCTCTTCATTCCACCACGAGTCTCCATTGTGACCACCAGAGTAACCCTTTGAAACCCCTAATACCTCTCTCGCGGCCTCCCTAATGCAGTGCGCAGTCGTGGTATTGTCTTCTATAATTGTGGTATGCTTGATTTCGAATATTGTATTCTAATATTTTATTTTTGGTTTGGTACTATGTTCTAAATTAGAATATTAATAATATTATTAATAATAATAATATTCCGATTAAAACTTACCAATATACTATTTAATATAATAGTGTTCGCGGGATAGGTGAAGTTGATCCAACGTTGCTTGTTCCATTATGGTTCTCCTCCTTTTTCTTTGCTTGCTTACAAAATAACCTTTTCAGAAAAAAAATAAATAAATAAATAAATATATATANAGAAGGGGAAAACCATAAATAAATGGAGTCTTTATGATTGGGCTAAAACCACCTCGAATGAAGAACTAAAAGACTAATCATGGAATTAACAATTGGGAAGATTTGTTTCGGGAATAAGATTGATTAGGGTTATGAGTTTTAAGAATTTAGCTGTGAAGATATGTGAGAGAGAAATTGAAAGTGAGGAAATATGTGTGTGTGAGAGAGAGACTATTAATGATGATTAACGTGGTACTAAATCCAATCCCTTATAAAGTGGGATTTGATAGGTAGTATATAATGATATTCAAAAGTTTAAAAAGAAATAAAATATTATAAAGTGGGTATACAGAGAAAAATAAATAATTTGAAAGTATAAAAAATTAACGGGTGTTTTTAAAGGGCATATTGTATAGATTTCTCTTGTTGCTTCGAGTGAATTACACAAATAGCCCTCAACGTGGATTATCTTGAATTTTTGTTCCCGATTGTCTCACGGTCACGGGCAGAACTTCAAATTTAACGAGTGTTGTTCTTTCTTTGCCTCATGGACAACACTTTTAACTTTTGACTTAAAGTTAAAAACTACCCAAAAAGTATTATATTTCTGCAATTTTTGCTTCTTCCATATTACTCATAAAGAAGTTACTTCGAGTATTCTAATGACTGTCATCTAGTTTCTCTTGACTATGTTATTATCCCACCAACGTATATAGAGTATTTTAATATGCAACGAGGATTATAACAATTTGTTTTTACCATCTATAAAGTAATTAAAATTATTATCCCTTTAATAAACCAAAAACAGAAGGAAAAGCAAAAGAACCGCTTTATGCAGCCAATGTACAAACCGTGAAGGTGGAGGGTATATGGCTGTGCATCGGTTGGATCGGATAGGATTTTGTATATTTGGGATTTCGGATTCTACAAAATACAATCCGAATTAGCATCGGATTGGATTTTAAAGTTTGTATCGGATAAATATTTTGAATTTTCGAATCGAATTGTACACGTTATTAAGGCCTATTATTGCTAATTGGATTTTAAAATTTTCCTACATTGCTCAGACAATAAAAACATCTGAAAAGTCCATCAGCCGACACCAGAATCCAAATAGGCAAAGATGTCTAGGTGGCTACGTTATGTTACTGATGAGAATCTCCATAATTTATGATCTAATAAAGCCCTAAAATCCAGAATTATTTTTCACCAAATATTCCCCCATTTAACCAATATTTCTTTTTCTTTTTTGGTGAACAAATTTTTTATTAACTAAGTTTTAACGAATAGATGATATTGGGTAAAAAAGCTTACCCATCACAAATTGTTTTCTTATATGTTGACATGACATATTTATATAAACAAAATATAAAATTGACCGATTCGCCGAAACTGAATACATTCGCTAGCTAAAATCTGTATATTATTTTGCCGGTTATTATTTTTAAAAATAATTAAAAATATGTATTTCTCTATTTCTAATGGTATCCCTATAAATTCTTTTACGCATTATAAAAGATGCTTACAGAGCAAGGAAATAACGAAAGATTTGGTCAACGCCGTTAACACCCTCGCATAAATTCCTCTTATTTTGAGAAGTAAAACCACAAAATATGAAGAGATTTCAAATAAACAAATGCATTGAAAAGACAAACCAGCAAAGCCATGACATCATTACCAGTCTTGATCACCAAGATAAATCTAAGTACTTTTTAGCATTCACTCCGCTTAATTACTTGGATATTTCCTTTTGTTCCCCTGACCTTTTAAAAGAAAAAAGAAAAAAGAAAAAAGAAAAAGGATTTTTGAAATTATTTAAACAATTTATAAATATTTATATGGTTATAAATCAACTTATTTAGAATAAAATATAAAATTTTTAAATTATTTTTAAATAAAAAAAGTACAAAGAAAGCAAAACAAAAATATTGTTGTCATCATGCTCAATTAGTAATAACTTGACTTCAGCTCCGGGGACTAGTCCAGCCTTGTGAAGGGAGAGGATTTCGTGGGCGGAAGCTACTTCTCATTTGTTGAGACCCCAGAGTTCGTTTTTTTCGTTTTTCAGGTTCCGTCTTAACCTCGTTAGCAAACGGAGTTGGCTAGCTGCTGACAGATATTTTACGGCTACATAATCATCAATGTCTTTCACTGCATAGCATTTGCCGTGACATTGTTATTCTTTTTGTATCAGACTAAAAATAAAAGTGTGTCACGTAAAATAAAACACGACGAGTACAACATATAGTAATATGTTTCGCCTAAGCCATGACATCATTCTCATTCTTAATCACCAAGACGACTTAATCTTGTCATTACTCCACTTACTAAAGTATTTAATTTCAAGACTCCAAGTAATTAACCTTTTAACATATCTACTATATTATAAATAGCTAATCAGAGGGGTTATCATCAGACCAGTTCAATCCCAAGTCATAACAAACTCTAGTTTCCTCTTCAAGTTTCAAACAAATATCAAATTTCAACTTGAGTATAAACCTTTAAGCCAAGAAGAAAATGAAAGAAACCAAGAAAATAGAGTTAGTCTTCATTCCTTCACCAGGAATTGGCCATTTAGTATCCACAGTTGAAATGGCAAAGCTTCTTATAGCTAGAGAAGAGCAGCTATCTATCACAGTCCTCATCATCCAATGGCCTAACGACAAGAAGCTCGATTCTTATATCCAATCAGTCGCCAATTTCAGCTCGCGTTTGAAATTCATTCGACTCCCTCAGGATGATTCCATTATGCAGCTACTCAAAAGCAACATTTTCACCACGTTTATTGCCAGTCATAAGCCTGCAGTTAGAGATGCTGTTGCTGATATTCTCAAGTCAGAATCAAATAATACGCTAGCAGGTACATTGGTATCAATTTCACGTATAGTTGTTTTATTTTACTTGTTGTAACTATTAGGGGCAGCAATTTGAGTCCAAACCCGTCCAGAGATTAATGGGTTGGGCTACAACATTTTAGTTCATGGGTCTAAATAAGCTGAGCCCAAGTTAATCCATTATTTTTTATAGCCCATTCTGATTCTGACCCATTAACTAACCCAAATACAACCCAGGAAGTTCACCCCAAAACAAAGGGATCTCAACCCAACTTATCTAGAAATTTATTTTTAGCCCAAATACAATCCATGGATCTCATCCCATTCTGTTTTTTCGTTTTTCACCCCTTCCCAACCCCTAATTTTGTATTTTTAATTTTCAATTTTTTGTTTTTTTCTGCACCACCCACCCACCCCCAACCCCTAAAAAGATTGTATTTTTAATTTTATGTTTTCTGTTTTTTCATTTTTTTGCACCACCCTCCACCCCAAGCTCTTCCCAAAAAAAAATTTACTTTTTTTTTTTATATATTTTTAATTTTCTATATGAGTTTAACTTTAATTGACAAAGTAATATTTTCATGACTTTATGTTATAGTGAATAAAGTTTAACGACGTTTACTATTTAGTTGGTAATATTCACTTCGGTAACATTAAAAGCGGGTTCAACTGCCGCTTGAACCAACATGGATCCGTCTCTCAATGTTACAAGAGATCGTTTTATGACATTACTATTATAGCGATAAAGTTTACTTACCTTACTAAAATTAACTGGCAGGTATTGTTATCGACTTGTTCTGCACCTCAATGATAGACGTGGCCAATGAGTTCGAGCTACCAACCTATGTTTTCTACACGTCTGGTGCAGCAACCCTTGGTCTTCATTATCATATACAGAATCTCAGGGATGAATTTAACAAAGATATTACCAAGTACAAAGACGAACCTGAAGAAAAACTCTCTATAGCAACATATCTCAATCCATTTCCAGCAAAATGTTTGCCGTCTGTAGCCTTAGACAAAGAAGGTGGTTCAACAATGTTTCTTGATCTCGCAAAAAGGTTTCGAGAAACCAAAGGTATTATGATAAACACATTTCTAGAGCTCGAATCCCATGCATTAAACTCGCTCTCACGAGACAAGAATCTTCCACCTATATACCCTGTCGGACCAGTATTGAACCTTAACAATGTTGAAGGTGACAACTTAGGTTCATCTGACCAGAATACTATGAAATGGTTAGATGATCAGCCCGCTTCATCTGTAGTGTTCCTTTGTTTTGGTAGTGGTGGAAGCTTTGAAAAACATCAAGTTAAGGAAATAGCCTATGCTCTGGAGAGCAGTGGGTGTCGGTTTTTGTGGTCGTTAAGGCGACCACCAACCGAAGATGCAAGATTTCCAAGCAACTATGAAAATCTTGAAGAAATTTTGCCAGAAGGATTCTTGGAAAGAACAAAAGGGATTGGAAAAGTGATAGGATGGGCACCTCAGTTGGCGATTTTGTCACATAAATCGACGGGGGGATTTGTGTCGCACTGTGGATGGAATTCGACTTTGGAAAGTACATATTTTGGAGTGCCAATAGCAACCTGGCCAATGTACGCGGAGCAACAAGCGAATGCATTTCAATTGGTTAAGGATTTGAGAATGGGAGTTGAGATTAAGATGGATTATAGGAAGGATATGAAAGTGATGGGCAAAGAAGTTATAGTGAAAGCTGAGGAGATTGAGAAAGCAATAAGAGAAATTATGGATTCCGAGAGTGAAATTCGGGTGAAGGTGAAAGAGATGAAGGAGAAGAGCAGAGCAGCACAAATGGAAGGTGGCTCTTCTTACACTTCTATTGGAGGTTTCATCCAAATTATCATGGAGAATTCTCAATAATTAACAGCGTTAAATGGCCATCCCAAGCCGGTATCTATCAATAACAGTCTCTCTACATTCACGGGGCAGAGGTAAAAGTATACTGAATTTGTTGTTATTGTTATTAAATGACCATCAGATTCTGGCCAATAGCACTTATGATATTAATAATTTTCTCAATAAAATTTATGTATACTTTGCGGTTTATATTAGGAAATTCGCTGAATATTTATAAATATTCAGCTGCAAACCATATAAATAAAGACGCCTATGTAGTTGATAGAATACCATGTGAACTAGAATGACACATAGCAGACACAGTCGAAGTGATATATCAAAGCCAACGCAAGGAAAGACCTCCAACTCGAGCCATAAAATGCAAATTCTCCTAATGATTCTCCAACCTTTATTGGTCTGTTCGGGGTTATAATTAAGTTCATTGTATCAAATAATCTAGTGAAATGGATCAATTTTGCCCCTATATTATCCGAAATTGAGCAATTTTGTCCGTAAGACTTTTGTGTCTAATGTTACCCTTGCATTAGGAAAAAGTCTTGTTTTTTACTCTTTACCCTTATTAATGGAGCTCCAACCTAAGGGTTATTTTACACCGTAGACAAAAGTTGAGCGGTAAATCCAGATCTTTTTCACAAATAATTTGAACAAGCAAAAAACTAGCAATTTCACTTATTACGGTACTTATTTATAGTTATTTTTTAAATAACTTGATAGCTAAATTTTTGATAATGTTAGTCAATTAAAGTTAAACTCATATACCAACGTATACATAGTAAAATTTAATACATACACACTAGTAATGCAGAATTATTTTACACTAGCAACGTATAATAAATTCGTTGTACTCCAACAGGTGATTTGTCTTAATTTCCAAATAACGTGCATGTAACACAATTATTTGTAGTTACTTTCTAAGTGATTCGATGTTATAAAAATACTTAAACTATCATATGGTTAAAGTTGGTCAATTAATTACATAAATGAAGAGCAGTGAGGAATAAGAAATTGACTTTGTCGAGGAAGCATATAAATTTATGTTGAAATATTCAACGCATTCTTCTTTTTTGGGCAGTGGGCTGATATTTTATTGTCGATCGGTATATTGATTAGTGGAATTCGTTTAGTCTAACAATTGTATTTTTGACATGCATTTTCTAAATAATTACTTCATCCGTTCACTTTTAGTTGTTCATTTTTTTTATTTGCATCCTCCTTAAGAAAAAAATTAATGAAGTATGTATTTATAATTTTACTTATAATAATAATAGCATTTCAAAAAACTTTGAAAAATAATTTGGAGAATGAGTACTTAATAATAAGGGTTAAACAAGAAAAATAAAATTATCTTTCTCTTGATTTAGTATAATGAACAAGTAAAAACAAAAATATATTTTTATTATAGTGCATAAGTAAAAGTGAAACGAGTAAGTGCTAATACCATCAAAGTTCCCTGGTAAACTTCCTTTCTCCTGCTATTTATGTCACACACAAAATAACATCTTCTTATTCAGACATGCAACATCATTTTCAGGCGTACCACTACTAAAACTCCGGCAAATACCGTCCAAAAAAATCGACCAAAGTTGGTCGATAATGACCAATAACCGTTCAAAACGTGACCATTTTCGTGTGGACAGTATTTTGAAGGTCGGAATGGCATACCGACCAACGTTGGTTGGTATGCTCTACACGACCATCTGACAATATATTTGGCTTACCGACCAAAACTGGTCGGAATACTATATTATTAATTTAATTTTACCGACCAAACTTGGTCGGTGTATTAAGTTTATTAATTGTTCCTACCGACCAACTTTGATCGGTATTTGAAAATATATTTTTTGTATAAATTATTAAAATTTAAAAAAACCGACCAACTTTAGTCGGTAATGTAAAATTTATTTTATTTTAAATAATTTAAATGTAACAATACCGACCAAAATTGGTCGATAAGCTGGACTGGGCAGGCAGAAAACCGACCAAAGATGGTCGGTAATGTTGAATTCTGGGAATTCATTGCACATTCACCGACCAACATTGGACGGTAATGTGCAATTTGATTTTTTTTTATTAGTAACCGACCAAGGTTGGTCGATTTTCTGGTTTTAATTTTGGAAGAATATGCCTGTTTTGGTAGCTACACCACCTGCCAAATAGAAACAGCATACCAATACCCCTAATTCAAATGTAATAACCACCAATTCACCACAAATCCAACCAAAAACCCAATAACAACAATAACAACCAAACATCCAATTAATACTTTAAAACTAACAAATTAAAGTGCAATTGAACATCACAATCCAAAACCAAGCAAATACTAATTACAACAAGTTCAAAATTGTTCAATCTAATCCAAAACTGGTTCTATTAGTCTAGTTCAAAGTATATCAAAGTAATTATCAAGGGGTATTTTCTACAACATCATTATCACCGTCTGATGAACTTTCATCTATAAGACGGTATAGAGAACGGTCTTGTGGAGGACGGGAAGAACGATCACGGGAGGACGGGAGGAACGATCACGAGCAGGACGGGAGGAACGATCACGCGGAGGTCGAGCCTCTGGCGATGACTCACGAGACCGGGGCAACGGAAAAGCTCCAGTAGATAGGAGAGTTCTGATCTGAGCTTGCATGCCAAGGAATTGAGCATCTCTAAGCCTTTCTCTTTCCTTGGCCACTTTTAGCTTGGATGTGAGCTTTGTCACTGTCTCCCGCATAGCCGAGAGGCTCTCCCTATTAAGTTCCTCGCCTTGCGAGGAAGTTCCTATTCCTTGCATTCCACACCTATAGCGATGGGATTTTTTAGTAGGAAGCCCGTATACCTTCCCCCATTTTGGACCTCCAACAGCCTCCAACCATATTCTTTTAGCATCCTCGTCTGAAGGTTGGGTTTGCTCGCCCGATTCACCAGTTGGATGACTACGAATGAAGGCCTCCACGTTACTTTGGTAGCAATCCTACATTATTTTAAATTAAATTAGTATTTAAAAATTCTTATAAAAGTAAATTATAACACTTAAAGAAAATTGAAAGCTTACATATGCAGTCGAGGCCCGGTCCTCAACCCACATATCTTTATACCTCTCTTTCTTCTTCTTTACAATATGTGTCTCCTTGAATACCTCATCATGGCTCATTGGACGCCTATACTTCTTTTCCTGAAAATAAATTAATTTAGTTAATAAATAGAATTGATATACTTAGAAAAGAAAAATAATTTAATTAAGCAATTACCAATCTTCTTTTTATTGTCCCCAGGCTGATAGCACCCCCCAGTGTGCAAGGAGCCTCCCTTCTCGGATGAGCGAGCTTTCTTTCCTTTTTCGCTCCTCTCTAAGAAATTTGCGGTAAGCTATTGCCTTGACAAATCATTCTATAAATGCTCAAGTAACCAGCCAGGATGCTTGAGAAATATTTATAGAGAATTACTTTGTGTGGACTAACCATAAAGAGTCCATGGCTGCTTGAGAAATATTCCAATCAGATTTGATACTTAGTAATCTAACTACAACAGACAGCTCAGAGTGCGGACTTCCTTCACGTAGTGGACGACTAGCTTCCTCTAACTGTTCATAAAAATATTTTGCATCATCATTAGGAGTTTGTTCAGCATTTTCATTGGGCTCACCCCCGAAGTGCATCCCAAAAGCATCCACAACTATATCCTGAATTCTAGAATCATGATTTGTATTCTCCACCGACCTACTACTTTCACCAACAACCATGTTATAAAATATTTCATGGCTACCATCGATCTCTCCATGATTAGTCCACACAAAGTAATTCTCTATAAACCCCTTCCTATAAAGATGAAGCTTAACTTCCTCCGGTTTCTTAAACTTCACACAATCGCACGTGACACAAAGGCACCTAATTACTCTTTCAATTTGTTATGGTGAAAGTGACATTGCATGTCTAATAAAGTCATCAACCCCTTCTACAAAATCTTCCTGCAATCCCCGCCGATTAGGATAATTCCTATTGTACATCCAAGTACGATGTTCCATCTATACAAATAGAGCAAGAACAAATTAATTTATTCTATAATTATAAATTAATTAAATCTTTTTTAGTTAATTAAGATAATTAATTTTTTCTACTTACACCAAAATTAAATTAAAGTATATATAATTAATTATAAACTATAAGTTCGATTCATATCCTAAGAGTTTAAACATAAACTAAAAGTTCAATTTATATCCTAAAAGTTCAATTCATATCCAAAAGGTCCAATTNATATCCAAAAAGTTCAATTTATATCCTAAAAGTTCAATTCATATCCAGAAAGTAGAATTTATATCCAAAAAGTTCAATTCATATCCTAAAAGTTCAATTCATATCCTAAAAGTTCAACCCATACCCTAAAAGTTCGATTCACAAGAACAAACCCTAAAAACTAAATTCAATTCTAAGTTAATAATTCAATTCTAACTAAACTATTCAAAACAATACAAACTTAAACATTCAATTTATACCATATGTAATCAATTCAATTAAAACAAGACCTAAACCCTAGATTTCAATAAAATGTAAAGTTAAACAATCAATTGAAACACTAATTAACTAATTGACAAAACATCAAATTTATACACAAAAGAAATAAGTTGTAATTCAAACCTAGAAATTTTAGGAGGTGGAGAAGGAGGGGCGGCATCTGGGCAGTGGCTAGCAACGGCAGCGGTAGCGGCAACGACGACAGTGACGGTGGGGGAGTGGCGATGTCACGACCCAAAACCCATTAAAGGCCGTGATGGCGCCTAACACCGTTGTCAGGTAAGCCAACCTTGGCTAATTAATTTAATTACCCATTTTAGTATTTTTGAAATCAAAATTTATTCAATTAAATAGTAAAGATAGAACTCATAGAGTAAGTGATAAATAATTTAGCAACTAAATTACTAAACAACCCATAACCACTCCCAAAACCCGGTGTCACAAGTGCATGAGCATTTACAAGGAATATAAAATAAAATACAGCAACTGTCCGGAATATAAATTAGACAGAAAAAATATAAATAACTCTGAAGGAGACTCTACTGGCTGCGGATCGTAATATAGAATACAACTCACCTAAGTCTCCGCATTATTAACCATACCTCTGCGCCCCCAAGGCAGCTAGACATATATGTACCCGCACAATAAAATATGCAGCAAGTACAGTATGAGTACGAAAACAACGTGTACCCACTAAGTATCAAGCCTAATCTCTAAGAGGTAGAGACGAGATGGTCGACTTTGACACTCACTAAGGGTCACTAATAA